CTCCCTCCCGAGTTCACCTTCTCTAAGAAAGCCACCAGCTTGGCCCTAATACCAGGCTGGTGGCCCCAGGCCCTTAATTCTCGCCCTCCGGCCCTAACCCGGGCAGGAGGCCGGCGTCCCTCTCCACCAGCCAGCTGACCGTGCGCAGGACCGGCCTCGCGGTGACAGCGCGCGTAGCTGGGCATCTTCAGCAGGGTCAGCAGCTCCGTGGACAGGGTGCGGGCGCCTTCCGCGCCCTCCTCGCTGTGGTGGAACTGGTGGCCCAGGGTCATCTTTGATAGCAACAGAGACCCTGGGGAAGAGGGTCCCGGCCAGTCAGTTGCAGATGCTCCCCTCACGGGGACAGAGGTCCGCGCGGGGTCCCCAAATTGGTGTCCTGGCTCCGCCCTCGTGCAGCCCCACGCTGCCCCCTGGTGTGCGCTACTGCGAGGTGCAGCGCGTCCGCCCCAGTTCTGTGTGCGGCACCCCATTGCGCCTGGCTCCAAAAGGCGACCACCGCCAGGTTCCAAAAATACTGGATAAAAAATATATATATAATGTGTGTGTATATATATTAAGATGTTATATATAAAATAATTTATATAATTTGTATATTATATATTATATGTAATATATTCATATCTTTTATAAATATATAAATATTTATTTAACTTTTCTATGAGACAGAGTCTCGCTCTGTCACCCAGGCTGGAGTGCAGTGGTGCGATCTCAGCTCACTGCAACCTCCGCTTCCCAGGTGCAAGCAATTCTCCTGCCTCAGTCTCCTGAGTAGCTGGGACTACAGGCACACACCACCACACCTGGCTAATTTTAATTTAGTATTTTTAGTAGAGACGGGGTTTCACCATGTTTGGCCAGGCTGATTTCGAACTGACATCAAGTGATCTGCCCGCCTTGACCTCCCAAAGTGCTGGGATTACAGGCATGAGCCACCGTGCCTGGCCTTGTTCTCTTTCTTTTCCTAGAATTCCCACAGCGAGTGTGTTAGCACTGCTGAGAATGTCTCACGGCTCTGGACCATCTGCATTTCCGGACCTGGTGCAGACCCCAGGATGCTGGACTCGGATTTGATGCCTTACAGTGGAAGGAGGTTGAGTATATTTTTTATGTGGGAGGGGTGTGGACTGTGGTGGCCAGAGGAAAGACAGTGGCAAGGCATTTCCAAAAGTGGCCACCAACAGTTCCTCCCACAAAGAGAAGGGGCTTTTCTCTTCTTCTCTGCAATATTCTCCGACCTTCTGACTTGCTCCGAACAATAGGATGCAGCATAAGTGATATTCTGGGACTTCCAAGCCAGACTCAAGGGCCTTTGGCTTCTATTTTCATGCTCCTGGAACTCAGCATCCATGGAAGGAAGTTCTTGGCTTCAACCCAAGAAAGGGAGGCCCCGTGAAGTCCGGGAGGCCCAGCCAGCCCCTGGCCGCTAAAGCGCCCAGCTGAGGTGCAGGACTTTTGAGGGCTGCCACTGTGTATGCTGAGCATCCAGGCGAATGCAGTCCCACGAGTGATCCCACGGACACCACGTAGAACAGAACAACTTCTCAGCCGGGCCCCAGACAATCCACAACACTTTGAAAAGTAACACTTCTTATGGGTGTTTTGTTTTGGGGTTTGTTTTTTTTAATGGAGTTTCACTCTTGTCACCCAGGCTGAAGTGCAATGGTGCAATACGGCTCACTGCAACCTCCGCCTCCCAGGGTCAAATGATTCTCCTGCCTCAGCCTCCTGACTGGGATTACAGGTACCCGCCACCACACCCAGCTAATTTTTGTATTTTTAGTAGAGACCAGGTTTCACCAGGTTGGCCAGGCTAGTCTCAAAACTCCTGACCTCAGGTGATCCGCCCACCTTGGCCTCCCAAAGTGCTGGGATAACAGGCATCAGCCACCGCGCACGGCCTGTTTTTGTGTTTTGAAAGCATTTTATTTTGACATAATTATAGATCCAAAGGAAGCTGCAAAAATAGCAGAGTGCCGTGTACCTCCACCAACTTCTCCCACTGCTGCATGGCAGCAAAACCTGAAAACTGACATTGACTTGTTACTATTAATATACCAGTTATGCTTTGTGCATATTCAGTTGTCACCGCTTTTTAAATTAAAATGAAATTCACATACAGTTAACTATTTAAAGTTATAATTCAATGGCAAGTAACACGTTCAATGCAACCATCACCACTGTCTAGTTTTAAAACATTGCTGTCACTTCCCAAGGGGAAAACATGCCTCCCCATTCCCTTCTGCCCCTAGGCCCTGGCAACCACGAACCCACTTTCTGCCTCTGTGGCTACACCTCTTGTGGATACTTCATGTGTCATCAGAAAAGGGTCCTGATCCAGACCCCAAGAGAAGGTTCTCGAACCTCGAGCAAGGAAAAATTCAGGGCAAGTCCATAAAATGAAAGCAAGTTTATTAAGAAAGTAAAGAAACAAAACAATCGACCGGGCACAGTGGCTCATGCCTATAATCCCAGCACTTTGGGAGACGGAGGCGGGAGGTCAGGAATTCGAGACCAGCCTGGCCAACACGGTGAAACCCCGTCTCTACTAAAAATACAAAAATTAGCTGGGCATGGTGGCACGAGCCTGTAATCCCAACTACTTGGGAGGCTGAGGCAGGAGAATCACTTGAACCTGGGAGGCAGAGGGTGCAGTGAGCTGAGATCGTGCCATTGCACTCCAGTCTGGGCGACAGAGCAAGATTCCGTCTCAAAACAAAAAAGAAAAAGAACAATGGCCACTCCATAGGCAGAGCAGCAGCATGAGCTGCTAGACTGAGTATACTTATAGTTATTTCTTGATTATATGCTAAACAAGGGGTGGATTATTCATGAATTTTCTAGGAAAGGGATGAAGATTTCCCGGAACTGAGGGTCCTTCCCCTTTTTAGACTACAAAGGGTAACTTCCTCCCATCCAAGTACTAACCAGGCCCGACCCTGCTTAGCTTCCGAGATCAGACGAGATCGGGCGCGTTCAGGGTGGTATGGCCGTAGACTACAAAGGGTAACTTCCTGATGTTGCCATGGCATTTGGAAACTGTCAGTGCGCTGGTGGGAGTATCTTTTAGCATGCTAATGCATGATAATTAGCGGCTAATGAGCAGCGAAGATGACTAGAGATCACTGTGGTTGCTGTCTTGGTGCAGAAGCTGCACCGTGGTTGCAGCTTCTCTATAGCATCCTGTTTTATCAGGAGCGTCTTCGGGACCTGTATCTTGAACCTGTACCTTGCGCTCACCTCCTGTCTCATCCCTGACTAAGAACGCCTATCCTCCTGGGAATGCAGCTCCGCAGGTCTCAGCCTGGTTTTACCCAACCCCTATTCAAGATGGAGTTGCTCTGGTTCCCACGCCTCTGACATGAGTCATGCAGTATGTGGCCTTGGGTCTGGATTCTTTCACTTAGCATATAATGTTTCTAAGCTTCATCATCTTTTCTGCAAATCTGAGACTATTCTAAAATTTCAAAGTTTATTTTTAGAAGTTGAGAGCTGGTGAGCTTTGCCCCTTTCCCAGTTGCCTCCTGGAGGCCACCTGGAGGCCACTCCTCCCTAGGCTGGGGTCGTGCCCTCGGAGGCCTGTGGCCATGAGCTCCTTCTTGTCACTCAGATGAGTGGGACGGCCCCACAAACCACACTCCCCGTCCTAAGTCCGGCGCAGTTGCATGGGCTGCGGACTCAGCACCAGCTGGCCTGGGCAGTGGCCCCATGAATGCCTGGGAGCTGGGAGCCAGGACAGCCCCGACGCCTTCCGGTCAGGGAAGCCCCGCCCCAGGGCAGGAGGGGAGCTGGGGACTCAGTGGGAGACTCATTCCGAGACTAGGCTAGGGGCAGCCCCGCGCTCTCGGAGCTTCAGGATGGGCCCAGCAGCGCCCCCACAGCCTCTGCTGCAGACTGGGTCGTGCACCGCGCGGAGAAGCGATCCCGAGAACCGCGCACGTGCATGCACGTGTGCACGCACGCCCTGGTTGCACAGTTCTACACGTGCACTGCTGTGTTTCCACGTGGAAACACACAGTGCTGCCGAAGGAAGCGCCTGCCAGCGCCAGCCTTTCCTGCGACCCCAGCTCAGCGACCCTGGGCTGTCCTGGGGCCAGCCTGCTCCGCCGCGGGGGACACCACTCGCCCTGGAGCTCGGAACGCGACCCCAGGCCCAGGCTGCGGGGCGGGCGAGCGCCTCCTGGGCTGGAACCTGGCGCTGAGGACCCCGCGGGTTCAGCCCGGGCGTCTGGGGAGCTCCTGGGCCCCCACGGTGTCCCCTGCTCCGCCCCTTGCGCGTCACTCGCCCCCCCCCCCACCCCAGTCCTGAGGCTGGGCGAGGGGCAGGACCCCACAGCCGCCTTCAGCGTGTGGTTTCTTAGCCGCGGAGCGATGGGGGACCTGGGTCGGGGCCGAGGCTGGAGGGAGGCGGGCGGGGCCAGGGCAAAAGCGGGAACCGAGGGCGGAGCCAGAGCCAGGGGTGAGTCTGGGGGCGGGGCGCGAGGCTCGCGGGGCGGCGGTGCCCCCTGGCGGCTGAGCCCGTCCCAGGCACCGGGCGGAACGTGGGACGCAGCTGTGCCTCGATGGCCCGGCGGGTAGGAGCACAAGGCCCAGGAAGGTGGCGGGGCCGGGGCCACACAACCAGGCACCTCCCCTTCGCGCGAATCCAGTGCTCTGAGCTCCACTCAGGTGGCTCCCTGGGACTTTCCCTCCGAATGGCCAGAGGCTGCAGCCTGCACAGGGGACAGCGCCTGCAGCCTTCCCCGGCCCCTTTCCTTCATCTTCAAGCTATTCAATGGCATCAAAAGGCGCACTGACCAAGCGCACCACCCAGCGCGGTGACCACCCCCGGAACTCCAGTCACTGCCTTCTGGGCTGTGCACAAATGACCTGGTTTCTGCGGCAGCAGCGGTGCACCCAGCTTAGCCCCCAAGACTGGCAACAGCTGCAGGGGCTCCAATCCCTGGCCCTCTCCCCAGGGTGCAAGGCAAGTAAGGGAACTGACTGCGCACTCTTCACGCAGACGCTTATTAAAGGAGATTTATTTTTACTGCAGCTCTTTCTGCCCCTAAACTGTCCAAAAACAAAGACTAGGAAACACCCCCGGCAGCCTCCACCCAGCCCGGCCACAGGGCCTCAGCCTCCACAGCCTCAGCCTCCAATCAGAGCCGCTCCATGGCTCCAGTTCAGCTCAGCGTTGCCGGAGAGAGAAACAAAGCCCAGAGGGTGAGCAGGGACCAGCCCCACGGGTCTGAGGGTGCCAAGGGCACCCTGGGCCTTGCCTCCTCTCCCAGGACTCCCTCGCCCTCTTAATCTGCACCGGCGTCCCTGTCCGCTGTCCCTTCATCCCGGCAGGAGGCCGGTCTCCCTCTCCACCAGCCGGCTGACCGTGCACAGGGCCAGGGGCAGGGCCGTGTTGACATCGCGGTGGTATCGGGGGCTGCACACCTCCGTGCTGGGCGTGAGCACAAACTGAGCCACACTGGGCATCTTCAGCAGGGTCAGCAGCTCCGTGGCCCGGGTGCAGATGGCTTCCGCACCCTCCTCGCCGTGCATGGAGCTGGTGGCTGGACTCTGAGTCAGGGTCCTCATCTTTGACAGCAACAGAGAGGCCCTGGGGAAGAGGGTCCCTACTATCAGCTGCAGATGTTCCCCTCCCAGGGAGAGGGGTCTGTGTGGAGGGGCCAGGCCCTGAAGCACCCAGCAGTGGCTTTAGCTCAGCACACTCAGGACCTGCGCTGCTGCCACCATTTCAAGACACCTGGATGGGAAGACCTCAGAAGCCACATCTCTTCCCCAGGAAAGCCAGAAGGCTTCTCTCCCTCCCTGCCTGGGCACCTGGGGATCAGGTCTTGGCTCCGGGAGGCCAGCTTCGTCAGTGTGGTCATCAGCGCGGTGACCACCTTGGGGGGACACCTGGGCAGGGCAGCAGAGGGGCGGCACTGGGTGACCTCGAACAGCAGGGCCTCCAGGGCTTCGAAGAACTTGTTGATCTGCTCCACAGTGCACCTCCGATCGTAGGCCACGGATAGGTACTCGCCGACGGCCCACACCTAGGCCCGGGGACAGAGGTCAGCCCCCACCCAGGCCTCCTGGGTCAGGAGCGGCCGGGGGAGGCCAGCGCCCGCCTTACCACGCTGGTGACGAGGCTCGCCCTGCTACGGAGGCCGTTCACGCTGCCCAGGAACTCCAGCAGGTCTCTTGCCAGCTCCACCACCAGGGAGGGCTTCAGCATACACAGGGCCAGGAACTGGGAACTCAGCACACTGCAAAGAGAGCCAGGTCCACGCCTGCTCCACACAGACCTCTGACCCCATCCCCACCCCAGCCACCCCTTTCAGGCCAAGGGCCTGGAGGGACCCGGGAAGCGTGTGAGTGGCAGGTGCAGGCTGCACCCTCAGATAGGGGGACGCAGATGACTGCCAGCCCTAGAGGAACTGTTCTCCTCACTGAGGAGAAGGCTGGCACTGGCGCTGGCCTCAGGCCCCGGCTCAGAGTAGAACCAGGATGGGCCTGCGTGCATCAGGCCTTTGGAGAGAAGGACCCCAGGGGACAGGGTGTGGAAGAGGGACTTGAGCCAACCCTGAAGATGACAGGCTTGGCAGAGGGAGGGACAGGGGAATGTTCTTGAGAGGCAGAGAGGAAGCACCAGGGCTGGACATGCGGCTGTGGGTGGGGGTGGCAGGGTCTGAGGCTGCTGAGGGCCCAGCTAGGGGTGGAGCTGAAGCCACTGAAGGGGAAGGGGAAGGGGAAGGGGAAGTGGAGTGGAAAGGGGAAGGGGAAGTGGAGTGGAAAGGGGAAGGGGAAGGGGAGGGGAAAGGGGAAGGGAAAGGGGAAGGGAAGGGGAAGGGGAAAGGGGAAGGGAAGGGGAAGGGGGAAGGGGAAGGGGAGGGGGAAGGGGGAGGGGAAAGGGGAAGGGGAAGGGGGAGGGGAAAGGGGAAGGGAAGGGGAAGGGGAGGGGAAAGGGGAAGGGGAAGGGGAGGGGAAAGGGGAAGGGGAAGGGGAGGGGAAGGGGAAAGGGGAAGGGAGTGGGGAAGGGAAGGGGGAGGGGAAAAGGGGAAGGGGAAGGGAGGGAAAGGGAAGGGAGGGGAAAGGGAAGGGAAGGGGAGGGGAAAGGGGAAGGGGAAGGGGAGGGGAAGGGGAAAGGGGAAGGGGAAGGGGAGGGGAAGGGATCCAGGAGGCACCTGCCCAGGGATGGGGAGGTGGCGCAGGAGGAACCCACCTGTGTACGCAGGCCGCGTACCCCGGGGCCGGATAGAGTGAGTCGCTCCTGCCCAGGAGCAGCAGCGCCAGCTGGTTGATCAGGGCCCCGTCAGCCACCTGGGGATAAGGAGTGGGAGACAGGCTCAGCCCCACCCCTACTGCAGGCCCTAGGGTGGGGGATGAAGCCATGGTGAGGGTTGGGGGGCAGCTGAGGGGCTAGAGACTCCTCGTCCACTGCCTTCCCCAACACCCAGGGACACAGAGACTCAGCTGGCAGCATCCGGGCACAGGGAGGGAATCCCCGGGCAGACCCGGGTACCCCCGGCAGAGGCGTTGCTTCTGTTCCGCGGCTCCTCTGCCAATTCTCCCTCTGCAAGACTGGGGACACGTCTTGCTCGGCCAAGGGTGCGCCCAGGCGACACCCAGCCCTGTACCCAGTGCCCTGCCAGCCTGCCCACCTCCCAGGCTCTCCTGCACTGGCGTCCGGCTTGTAGAGCTCCCCGAGGTGGGAAGCAGCAACGGTTGGGGAGGGCGGGGTACCAGCCTGTGGGAGCCTTTCTTTTGGCCCCAGATGCAGATGTTGAATTATCAGGGGCAGCAGGGGGACAAACTGCTCCGGCCCCCGCTGTGCCGCCAGCACCCAGGCCACTCACTCGCCCTGTCCTGGGGACGGGACGGGGCCTTCCGGGATGAAGGGGATGAGATGGGGGACGGGGCCCGCCGGGATGAAGGGGATGGGACGGGGCCGGGGCCTGCCGGGATGAAGGGGATGGGACGGGGCTGGGGCCTGCCGGGATGAAGGGGATGAGATGGGGGACGGGGCCCGCCGGGATGAAGGGGATGGGACGGGGCTGGGGCCTGCCGGGATGAAAGGGATGGGACGGGGGCCGGGGCCTGCCAGGACTGTGGCCCATGCAGCCATGTCCCTGTGCCTCCCTGACCCTCAAGAGTGGCTGTGGATGGCAGGTGTGGTGGGATGAGCCTTCTGCAGAGCTCAGGAGGACCCCACAGCGCTGGCACTGGCCTGCCCCTCGGTTGTGAGTGAGGCCCATGGGAATGGGGGGCCCCAGATGGCAAGCTCACCTGGGTCACCGCTGAGAAGAACGCCTGCAGCAGCGTGGGCACGGCCTCGGCACACTGGGCCACGCGGGCGCAGCCGGCCATGGGCTGCAGCAGCTGGTAGAGCGGCACCAACCTGAGAACACAGGCGTAGCCGTAAGCGCTGCCCGCTCCCCTACCTGGTGACCACAGGCAAGGGCCAGGCGCCGGGGCCATGTTGCCAGTGCTCCCTCTTGCACAGCTGAGCCCACTCCCATCCTCGCTCATCGCCTCTCAGGACCTCGTGCTCCCCTGGGTTTGGGGAGAACCCTGGTGTCAGCACACCCAGGACAGTAGAGCCGTCGGGGCAAAGGCTGGTGTGGGCCGAGGGCAAGAGGCCTGTGGGCTGCTCCCAGGCCTCCTGCTTTCTGGGCTCAGGCTCTGTTTCTCCATCTGCAAAACGGAGCACCCCAGGGCCGACCCGCGGGCTTGTAAGGGTTGATGTGGGCAGCAGAGAGAGCTGAGAGCAGGCCCCGCAGCCGGCAGACCTGTGCTGCACAAGCAAGGCCTCTGCAGTGGCGATGACAGTTGCTCCCCAGGTCAGGGACGCAGCCTTGTCTGGGCACAAAGCACCCTGATCTCAGCCCAGGGCCCGGCAGCGAGTCCCACCCCAGTGGCTGTGGCCTGGCTCTCTGAGCCCCTGGTGGCCCCTTGGCCCAAGGGCCCCCTACCTCTCGGTGGCGCCGCTGGCCTTGGGGCGCAGCAGATATTGGAAAAGTCCCTGGAACTTCGGGTCCCGGAAGGCTTCCAGGCAGCTGGGGGCCCGGACAGAGGTGTCCCAGAGTGGCCTCTCGGATGGAGCCGGCGATGACCTGCGTGGACAGATGCCCAAGGCCAGGCTGGAATGCGGCCCCTGCCCTCCAGGGCACCCCCATCAAGGAGACACATGGCAGGTGTCCCTAACATCAGAGCGCCTCGGGTGCTGGGAAGGGCTTGGGGACACAGGAGGCTTCAGGCCTGTGTGTGAAGACAGGTGAGGAACTCCGGGGCGCAGGGGCTGCCCTTGGCGGGTGGCCAAGGGTGACAGACACGCCGTCCTGGAGGTGGCTTTGCAGGGGAGGACCGGTCAGGTGTTGGTGGGGAGGGAGGAGGGTCCCCGGTGTAGGGTCAGGAGCGGTGAGGAGGGGACCCAGTGTGTGGAACCAGCTGTCTGGAGAGGCAGCCCTGGCAGAGTCTGAGGGGCCCACCTGAGCTGCAGGTCCAGCACCGCCGTCAGGCAGGGCAGGTCCAGCAGCGCGTGTAGCATCTCCAGGGCCGTGCCGGCGTCCACCAGGGCCGGGAGGAGCGCCACAAACTCGGAGGTGAGGGGTGGGCTGTTCCAGGCCAGGAACTGCGGGCACAGCGCAGGGGTTCGGACAGGGCTCGGAGCTGTGGAGCGGGTGGCAGAGGGGGCAGCTGGCTAGGGCCCCACTGCTGTCCCAGACTTGTAGTCCCCAGGAGGGCTTCTACATTTGCCTCCTCCGCTTTTGATTTTTTTGAGACAGGGTCTTGCCCTGTTGCCCAGGCTGGAGTGCAGTGGTGCAATCATAGCTCACTGCAGCCTCAACCTCCAGGCTCAAGTGATCCTCCCACCTCAGCCTCCTGAGCAGCTGGGACTACAGGCACACACCACGTGTGGCTGTTTATTTTTTGTAGAGAAGAGGTCTCCCTGTGTTGCCCAGGCTGGTCTTGAACTCCTGGCCTCAAGATCCTCCTGCCTTGGCCTCCCGAGGTGCTGGGATTACAGGCGTGAGCCACCGCCCCCAGCCTGTATCTACTTTCGTACCAACAAGTCAATCATTTCCCACTGTCCTGGTTTTTCTCTAGGAAAAGGATTCCCCACCTGGGTTGAAAAGACTTTACAGCGAGGTGAGGCTGCAAAAGACATTTCAAAAGCAAATGGCACCAGGCTGGGTGCGGTGGCTCATGCCTGCAATCCTAGCACTTTGGGAGGCCAAGGTGGGAGGATCATCTGAGGTCAGGAGTTCAAGACCAGCCTGGCCAACATGGCAAAACCCCATCTCTACTAAAATACCAAAAATTAGCTGGACATGTTGGTGGATGCCTGTGATCTCAACTACTCGGGAGACTGAGGCAGGAGAACTGCTTGAACCCAGGAGGCGGGGGTTGCAGTGAGCTGAGATTGAGCCACTGCACTCCAGCCTGGGTGACGGGAGCAAGACTCCATCTCAAAAAAAAAAAAAAAAAAAAAAAAAGAAAGGCAAATGGCACCCAAGGGCCCAAGGCACCAGACAGGGCTCCCGGGGGAGGGATCCAACTAGCCAGCAGCCCTGCCCCAGTGCTGTGAGAACAAACTCACCATTTTGTGGCACTACCCCCCTCCCCAAAACAACCACAAGGGAGTTCTTGGACAGCACCATCGTTCACGTGATACTGCATGGGCACCCCGGACCCCCACCTCACCCTGCACCCAACATTTCAGGCCCGCGACTCACAGGGCTCTATGTTCAGCCAGGACTCACCCTGAACCCCGCTGGAAAGAGGGGAGGAGTCCCAGGCACTTGCGCCCCTGCCCTGGCACCCAGGGACTCCCAAATGTACCTTGAAGAGGTTGGGGAAGCTCAATCTGAGGGTGCTGAGGTGCCCGCCAAACAGGTGGAGGTTGTCCCTGCAGAACTGGACGAACTCAAAGGCCAGCATAGGGCCGTGGAACTGCTCCAACGGGATCCTGGTGAACAGGTGCTGGTAGACGGCTTCCGAGTCCACTGCAGCTGCCTCCCCTGCAAGACCAGGGCCCGTCAGGGTGCACGCCTGCTGGACGCACGCTTGACCTCATTCTGGCCGTGCTTCTCTGCGGCTGGTTAGGGCCCCTGAGTCTTGGGCCTGCTCTCCAGGACACCAAGGGCTCTGAGGCGTCCTACACCACGACGCTGGGGAAGTGGCACTCAGTCTCCCTCACCCAGGAACACCACGGTGAGCTCATGAGTCACACAAACTATGGCACATTCTTGGAAGGTGCTGGTTCCTAGACTTTCGGGTTTCCCAGGCTAGGGACTCAGCAAAGAGAGTTTCTGTTTATTTCCCTATTTTAAAAAGTTTAAAAATTACCAACATCTAGCACAGTGATCCATAAAAAATAAATATGAGCTGGGCACGGTGGCTCATGCCCGTAATCCCAGCACTTTGGGAGGCCAAGGCAGGAGGATCGCTTGAGGCCAGGAGTTCCAGACCAGCCTGGGCAACATAGCAAGACCCCAGTCTCTATTCAATCACAATAAAAAAAAAAAAAGGGAAGAAGAAATTCCATCCTAAAACTAAAGGCAGGAGCAGAGCCCCGAGAGTCAGCGCCACCCCGCCCTGGGCTCACCGTGGCTCAGGAAGAAGCGGGCGAGGGGCAGCAGCACCCGCACAGAGGCCGGGTCCCCACGCACCCGCCCGTGCAGGGCCTTCAGGCAGGAGAGGCTTCGGTACAGGAAGGACGGGTCCTGCCGGCACAGCACGTCCAGCACCAGCACAGCCTCCACCAGGCACTGTGGGACACGGGACACATCAGAAGGGCCGAGTCACTGCCTCCCATCCCCCCATCCCCAGCCACTTACAGCTTTCTGCAGGTCGGAGTCCCCCTTCCTCAGGGCCCCTGGAAGGAGAGGAGGAAGTCAGCCGGCTCTGTCTCAGCCTCGGAGCAGCCCAGTGAGGGGCAGCTTGTGTCCTGGAAGCTCCAGGCAGGACCATGAGCAGAGGGGTGGGACAGGCCCCCAGGAGGACTTGAGTGGGACTGAGGCTGAGGGGCCCAGGCGGGACAGGGCCGGGCTGGGGGCTGGGGTGGAGCCCAAAGAACACTCAGGGCTGACCCCAGAAGCAAAAACGGGCCTGCTCCAAACTGGCCACCTGGGATCTCGCTCTGTGGAGCAGCAGCTCCAGGGAAGATGTGCGGCCTCAGGTCGCCTTGCAGAGCAGGTGGGCCGAGCCCCGGGGAGGCCAGTGCCCTGGGCGGGGGACTCACGTCGGTTACTCTGCTCAATAAGGCGCTGGCAGTACTCAAAGGCCACCTCCCGAAGCCGCTCCCGGGGCGGCAGCGGGCGGCCGGCGGAGGAGGAGGTGGCGGAGATCACCGACAGCGTGGAGCCCTCCTGCTCTGACCTGTCATCTGCGGGAGGAGGGAGCGCTCAGCAGGCCGACGTGTGGCTCCCAGGCTGGGACATGCCCGCTGCCCTGCTTGGAAGGGCAGGAGAAGAGCACAGGCCACAGCCCCTCCCAGGGGACGTGAGGCGTCACTGTCTTGGGACGTCCACCCACCCAGCAGCTTCCCCATCATGGCTGCCCTTCAGGGTAGCTGAGGCTTCTTCCCCAGCAAGCCCACAGAGCAGCTGGGAGGAGCTCAGTTGGGTCACCCCAGCAACCTTCAGGGAGCCTGCCTTAAATGGTGGCTCTGACTTCTGCACATCGCGTGAGGGTCATGAGGCGTCCAGAGGATCCCCAGTGCTGACCCTGGACCCCAACGATGCTGGCCGGGGAGTATTCTCGGTTTAGCTCCAGGTCAGCAGGCTGCACTGCCCAGCCCCGACCTCTGCTGCATCCTGGGCACACGTGTGTCCCCCCCACCTCCGCCTGTGTCCCTGTCGCGCCCAACCCACAGTGCGCCTGCTTCCCACCGCTGTCTGACGTCGGCCCACCCCCAGCACACCTGTGTCCAGGGTGCCCAGGCCCTCAGGGCCACTGCGCAGCAGCCACGCCCGCAGCATGGAGAAGGCCTGCACGTTCAGCCACTGGTCCTCCGTGAAGCGGTGGCCGGTGGAGAGCACCGTGAAGAAGTCTGTGGCCACCGCCCCGTCCATCTCGGTGATGGGGCCCGGCTGCGGGAAGGACAGGCGGGGGTGGGTGGAGGGGCCAAGGCTGGGAAAAACGCCAGCCTTTAGTACAAGCTCCTCAGGAGGTGGAGGGGAAGCTGCCTGCACGTGAACCCAGGCAGTGGCCCGCCCTGTGTGATGCAAAAACACCGTCCCCACCTGACCCCAGGCCAACGCGCATCGCACATCCTCTCCGCCGGCCCCGGGAATGAACCCACGCGCAGACCCCCGGGGCCACACGGGTCACTGGCTGCGGCCCCGCCTGACCCAAGTGCTCCTGCAGCAGAGGCAGGCTTGTCCTGGACCCTGCGGAATGACAGCAGGCGCCGACGGGGACCTGTTAGGCAGGGCTGGCCACAGCGGGCACAGGCGCTGACGGGGACCTGTTAGGCAGGACTGGCCACAGCGGGCACAGGCGCCGACGGGGACCTGTTAGGCAGGACTGGCCACAGCAGGCACAGGCGCTGACGGGGACCTGTTAGGCAGGGCTGGCCACAGTGGGCACAGGAGCTCCCAGGAAGGGGTTGTCTGTGACTCTGTTCCCCACGGTTCAGGAACAGTCCCGGCCTCACGCGCTCACCTGCCGGGCCCTGGGCGTGGAGAAGAAGCTGCTGGAGTGCGGGAGCCCTTGCTGGAGGCTAGCGTAGCGCAGCCAGTCGACCAGCCGCTTGCTGAGCAGGGTGGCCTGGTCTGCAGTGGGCAGAGTGGCATGGGGAGGTGAGGTTAAATCCTATGGATGCCCAGGCCATTGGGATGCTGGCCGATTTTTCTCAGAAAACAGAATCCTACAACATCCCAGGTCCTTGGGCCTCCCCATGCCCCCAACTCGCTCCCCACTCCCAACCCACCACGGGCCCTCAAGGAAAGACCTGGGAAGGCAGACCCCGAAGAGCCTCTTGGGAGGGGCCCCACGTACCCTCCTGGAGGGTGCCCGGGCTGAGGACCACGACCTTGGCCATGATGGGGAGGAGGTATCTGAGGCTGGGCCCCTCAGGCTGCCGGCTCTCCAGTGCTCGCAGCACGCCCTGGCCCACAGCACTGACCTCCTCGTTTCTGTCACCCTTCAAATCAGACAGGGCAAGCGCTGGGGTACTGGCCTGTGCCGGAGACCAGCTCCCCCAATTTCGGAAGTCTGTGTGACACTCCTGAGAACCATCGGTCCCTGATCCCCCAGCCCAGCAGGTGGCAGGGAGGATGCCACGCCCAGGCCCACCCAGGACCGCAAGGTGCCTGCTCCACCTCCAACCTCTTTCCCTGGGAGCTGCATCGCTGAGGCTGGAGGGGGCCTGGGTAGGGGCATGGTTGATTCAATGCTAAAAACACAATGGCGGCCACCATGGGCCTGGTCACAGCCACAGGACACCCCATCCTGCGGGGCCTCCAGTGTGGAGTCCCAGTCTTTAAACCGCCCGCCTCATTCCGCACACGCAGATGCTGAAACATCTGAGCAGCACCAGAGACAGCCAGCACAGGGGCAGGGCCGTCAGGGGAGGGAGGAGGGCGCCTGGTGGCTGGGAGGCCACGTGCCTGGCAGGGGCTGCACCGCTGGTGCCTGGCAGCAGTTTTGCAAGATCATCTTCCACTAAAAAAAAAATGAAAGTTGCATGAGGAAAAGGGTTGGTGAAATGAACAAGAAGAGCCGGAGTCATCTTGTTCCAAAGGCGAGGAGCCACCACAGCATTACCGGGGTCATCTCGGAGGCCTGGAGGTGGCCTGCAGGGGCTCTGTGAGGTGAGGGGGCTGGGCACCAACCAGGACGCCCTGGGTAGGCTGCGGCCCACAAGCTCTCGCCCACACAGAACTAAAGCAACCGCAGGCTGCACCCAGCACGGGAGGCGGCTCATGACACTGCAGGCTGGGAACGGAGGGAAAACCCCGGCTCCACCGCAACCTTCCAGCAGACTCTGCACCCCTGGCAACCCATGCCCACAGACAGCCTGCGAACCCCTGGATCCCCACGCCGAGCAACCAGGCCTGCTCACCACAGAGGGAGGGAGGACATGGACTTGGCAAAAACTCCTGGCCGAGGAGGGAGGGCTGCTACCCAGAAGTTCGAGACCAGCCTGGGCAACACAGTGAGACTGTGGGTCCCTACAAAAAATACAAACATTAGTGGGTGTGGTGATGCACGCCTGTAATCCCAGCCACTCAGGAGGCCGAGACGGGAGGATTGCTTGAGCCAGGGAGGTCGAGGCTGCAGTGAGCTTTGATCACGCCATGGCACTCTAGAATGGGCAGCAGAGGGAGACCCTATTTCTAAAAAACAAAACAAAACTCCAAAAAGAAGGTCTGGAGGCCCAGCCTCCCCTGACTCACTGTCTCAAGGCTGTGTCTGAGAAACCGAACTCCACCACCTCTACTGAGCTCTGCTTACACCAACAAATCCTGTGGTCTGAAAACTCCTGGAACGGGGCCCGGGGAGCTGAAGCCTGCTGCTCTATCAGCATCACCAATGCCACCCTTACACGTGTCTAGGAATGTCACCAGAGCAGCCCAGGCTCTGTACCCTCACGGAGTCTTCAAGAGAGCACCGGATGGCTGCTTCCCAAGGAACAGGGGAGACAGGAAGCAGGGGCGCCGGAGTCGGCAGGTGTCTGCTTGTTCTAGACGCATCTCGGTGCCGAGTGCCTGGCACACTTGAGGCTGGGGCATGCCCTGTTGACTGGAATGGGTACGCAAGCCCAGCAGGCCCACGTAGCATGTTGGTGCCCGTGAGGGGACACAGGCCGGCCTGCTGGCTGCACCCGAGGCCCCGGGACCCCGGGGCAGGACGGCCAACTGGGGTGGTGACTGCTGCGCTACCTGGGCCAAGAGCACGGAGGCCACCAGGCTCAGCTGCCGGCTGTTCTGGGTGTGGTCCCAGACCAGGCTGAGGCTGTCGGAGGGGGACATCTCTCGCAGGATGGCGGCGCAAAGCACCTGGAGCTGCTCGGGACACGCGGCCAGGCCGAGGGTAGCCTGCAGCAGGTCTACGCATGTCTTCTCCAGCCTGGAAGGCGAGATGCCCGTGGGGGCCAGCGACACGTCACACCCGTGGCAGGAGCACCCGGCACCCCAGAGCACCTGGCCAGGCACCCCTGGGCCGGTGGACAGAGCGTTTTACGTGAGGACGGACCTTCAGCGCTGGTTTAAGTGGGCAAATGACTCAACCCCTCAAGGATCATCTGCAGCGACCTGCTGGGCACGGGCCGGGTTCTCCTGGGGCCGCTGGGTGAGGAGCCGGCCTGAGCCGTGGCCGCACTCACCTCCGGCTGTACTTCGTGGCTGAGATGATGAGGAAGAGCCTCTGCAGGGAGTCAAGGGTGTCCGGCCCCAAGTCCTCCGCCTGCAGCAGTTTACTGATCCGGGAACAGAACTTCTTCAGCTCCTCGTCCTGGATCTCCCTAAACAAAGAAGAGGACTTCAGGACCCAGAAGCACTCACTGCTCAGAACCAAAGAAAGGATAATTCCTGGAGCAGGGAAAATCCCTCTTCAGAAAAGAGAAGCCGAGTGTGTGGGACGAACACGGCTGCACCGCTCATGGCTGTCCAGATAAATTCGCTGATTCCCCGAGCTGGTTCCTCTCACCCCAGGATTTTGTGAGCCGTCGCTGCAGCGCACTATGACGACTCTCACTCACGGAGGCCCACGCACTTCGACTGTGCTATTCCAGGGGCAGAAGGATTAAACCGATTCTTTTTAGGGGCCTCATGCAAGAGCAGGAAATTTACTCCAGAATAAGGTGCTTTACAAAAAAAGTCTTCAATAAGCCTTCCGCTTATGGGAACAAGAATACATATATGTTTTTTTCTTTCCCTGAGATGGAGTCTGGCTCTGTCACCCAGGCTGGAGTACAGTGCCACGATCTCAGCTCACTGCAACCTCCACCTCTGGGGTTCAAGCGATTCTCCTGCCTCAGTCTCCCAAGTAGCTGGGATTACAGGTGCCCACCACCACGCCTGGCTAATTTTTTTTTTTTTTTTTTTTTTTCAGATGGAGTCTCACTCTGTCGCCCAGGTTGGAGTGCAGTGGCACAATCTCGGCTCACTGCAAGCTCCGCCTCCTGGGTTCACACCATTCTCCTGCCTCAGCCTCCTGAGTAGCTGGGACTACAAGCACTGGCCACCATGGCCAGTTAATTTTTTGCGTTTTTAGAAGAGACAGAGTTTCACCGTGTTAGCCAGAATGGTCTTGATCTCCTGACCTCATGATCCGCCCACCTCGGCCTCCCAAAGTGCTGGGATCACAGGCGTGAGCCACTGCACTTGGCCTGAGAATAAAATCTTATATATTAAAGAACAAATGTTATGACATATTGTAAGGTAAGCCCATTATAATTTTTTACTCGAGTAACTAACTGGCTTAATTTAAAAATCTCTCTAGTAAGCCACAGGTAAGATACTGAATACAGTCCCAAATGAAAGCCTGTTTTTAGGTTTCCATCCCAGTCTAAAAGAAAGAACCGATAATGTGCAAAGGGGTTGCCGTGCCAGGGGACTCTGGGGACTCCCTGAGAAGGGCCCCCTACGTGGCTGTGCCCTCCCCAGGCCACCTATAATCCCAGCACTTTGGGATGCTGAGGTGGGAGGCTCACTTGGGCCCAGAAGTCTGAGACCATCCATGGCAAAACAGTGATACCCCATCTCTACAAAAGAATAAAAAAAATTCAGCCGGACACGGTGGCTCACACCTGTAACTCCAGCACTTTGGGAGGACGAGGCGGGCGGATCACCTGAGGTCAGGAGTTTGAGACCAGTCTGGGCAACATGGAGAAACCCTGTTTCTACTAAAAATACAAAAAAATAGCCAGGTGTGGTCGCACACACCTGTAATCCCAGCTACTCGGGAGGCTCAGGCAGAAGAATCGCTTGAACCCGGGAGGTGGAGGTTGCAGTGAGCTGAGATCACGCCATTGCACCCCAGCTTGGGCAACAAGAGCGAAACTCCATCTCAAAAACAAACAAAACAAGGAATAAAAAAAAATTCACTGGGCATGGTGTAGTCCCAGCTATTTGAAAGGCTGAGGTGGGAGAACTGCTTGAGCTAGATGATCAGGCTGCAGTGAGCTGAGATTGCGCCACTGCACTCCAGCCTGGGTGACAGAGTAAGACTCTATCTCTCTCTATATATATACGTATACATATGTACACGTACATACATATGCGTACATTTGTATGTATACATATGTACGTATGTACATATACATATGTACGAATACATATATATATGTATACACACACAGACACAAAACGGAGAATCTTTCCCAGAAAGGTAGAACCCCTCACCCCGATTTAATTCCCTTCAGCATATTCTCCAAATCCCAAGCTTCTCTCTAAAAGCCAAGCCACCCAAACCCTTCAGTCGCTCCCCACTGCTTTCAAATCCAAACTCCTACAGACCCTAACGCTGCCCACAAGACCCCGGCCCCGCCTTCCTTCTCCAGCCTCCACGTCCTGTTTTTCTCGCTTCTCCCCCTTCACACGGACCCTCTGCCTGAAACACACGCCACTAGCTCCTGAGCTTCCAGTCTGCGGCTCTTCCTCCTGGAAACCCCCGACCTTGATGGGCACCCCTCCATGCCCCCATCCTTCACTCGCTTCCCGCTTTCTCCATTTATCCTTCACCTTACAGAGCCATCTTCGATCACTTTTTCCACACTTGCCTTCCGTATCTCTGACACATTTACTGAGAAACTCAAGTTCACTCCATATCTTTTTGGCTTTCCTTGGAGACAGGGTCTCCCTCTGTCACCCGAGCTGGAGTGCAGTGGCACGATCATAGCTCACTGCAGCCTCAACCTTCTTGGCTCAAGTGATCCTCCTGTCTCAGCCTCCTGAGTAGCTGTGACTACGGGTGGTACCACCACACCTGGCTAAGTTTTTAAAAATTCTGTTTTGTAGAGACGGGTCTCACTATGTTGTCCAGGCTGGTCTCAAAGTCCTGGCCTCAAGCGATCCTCCTAACTCGGCCTCCCAAAGGGTTCGGATTACAGGCGTGGGCCAGTCACTGTGCCTGGTCTGCTCCAAACCTTAACCCTCAAACTATAGTCATTTATTTTAAAACATCACCAGAAATCACAGGCTTAAGTATATTGTGAAAACTGGTAAGCCCTGATAGATTACTAGCCTTCTTGAAACCCTAACAGAGGGCAACTGCAGAACTCATGTATGCTACATAGGAAAATTCAACCACACTCTATCCTCAAAAATGCCTGCCCACTGAGCCACGGAGGCAGAGAAACAGGTATTTAAATAGTGGTGGCTTGACCGGGTGTGGTGGCTCACGCCTTTAATCCCGGCACTTTGAGAGGCCGAGTTCAGGAATTTGAGACCAGCCTGGACAACGTGGCAAAACCCCATCTCTACTGAAGTTACAAAAAATCAGCCAGGAGTGGCGGCGGGTACCTGTAATCCCAGCTACTTGGGAGGCTGAGGCAGGAGAATTGCTTGAACCCGGGAGGCGGAGGTTGCAGTGAGCTGAGATTGCGCCACTGAACTCCAGCCTATGCCACAGAGGGAGACTGTCTCAAAATAAATAAATAAAAATAAATATCTAGTGAGGGCTATTCATTTTGTCTTTCATGTCACAAGTTTATGACCTGGAGCAGAATGTGACTGGGAATGAAGTTCTCAGTGAGTGTTTTTCCTTGTCTCTTGGCAAGGACCTTGGGATGAACATGTTGCATGCTGAGATGCCAGCATTTTTCATTTTCATACAGTCCCTACATTCACATGAATGGCATATCTGTCCAGGATTGAAGGGAAGGTTGCCTATGTTGAGCTGCTGGGAGATGATGCTGCATATTCACCAAGCCCCTTCCTAATGAGTGGAATTTTAAGGGTTATTTTGATCAGAGATTTTTGTCCTGTCTTTAAGACCTCACTCACTATAATCACAGCACTTTCAACCACCCGAATCTCTCCCACCAATTGGTCTAGCTCTGAATCCACGTTTGTTTGTTTTGACATGGAGTCTTGCTCTGTCACCCACGCTGGAGTGCAGTGGCACGATCTTGGCTTACTGCGGCCTCTGCCTCCTGGGTTCATGCAATTCTCCTGCCTTGGCCTCCCCGCTCACCAAGTTTGTTTACGTTTATCAAGGGGCTGTAGTTCTGACTGTATTTTTTTTTTTTTTTAATTGAGACGGAGTTTCCCTCTGTTCCCTAGGCTGGAGTGCAGTGGAACAATCTCAGCTCACTGTAACCTCCGCCTCCCGGGTTCCAGCAATTCTCCTGCCTCAGCCTACCGAGTAGCTGGGAGTTACAGGCGCCCACCTCCACGCCCGGCTAATTTTGTATTTTTACTAGAGACGTGATTTCCTCATGCTGGGCAGGCTGGTCTCGAACTCCTCACCTCAGGTGATCCGCCCGCCTCGGCCTCCCAAAGCGCTGGGATTACATGCGTGAGCCACCGCGCCCGGTCAGCATTTTCTTCTTTTAAACATGCAGTATGAAGTCTTTGCCTGTTTGGTGGACCGTGAGTCTTTTCAGTCCTCGCCTACACTGTTTTCCCCCATGACTGGCTAGCTGGTGAGGAAGGGGCTACCCACTCGTTAGTGGGAGCCCAGAGACAGGCTGGAACCAGCCTGGAAGCAGCCTGGGGGGTGATTTCTCAGCCTAGCAAATACATCCGCGCCAAGAGCGACCTTTCTAAGTCACAAAACCCTCCCACGGTTCCCCAAAGCCCACGGATGGCCTCCAGCTGCCAGCCTGGCACACAGCCTTACTCCTAAGCAGCCCTCCGGGCTGTCTGTGACTTTGTGTTCTTGACTGTGAGGCAACGAAAGCTCCTGCATGCTCGATTTCCTGCCAGACGCGGAGTTCTCACCGCCAAGCCTTTGACTAAACTGTCGACCGGGTTCCACCCCACTTGGTTTCGCTCACCAAGACTCTGCTCAGGTGTCACCTCCTCCGGAGACCCACCGTGACCCTCCCCGACCTCCTCACCCCACGCCTGGCCGCC